TCACATATACTGGTGGCTATTTTGGTTGGTGTTTTTATTATTTCAAAGATGATTATTCTAATGATATTTGGCAGCTTTCACAAAATTTGTCCTAGTAAAAAAAAACAAGCGTCTTTTTGAGTATTTTGACATTTTTATTGAAAGAATGAAACATATAAGCAAAAACAAAAGAAACAAATACTCATCCAAAATAGTGTCCGGTACGTGTAAATAAAATTTTCAAGTCAATCAGAACGTAGTAGCTCAGGCTCATTTTGGCAATTATAAGCTCAACATCTCATAGTCTACTCTTCAAAATCTATCGGGCCTAGAGATAGTCACGAGGTCGCAACAATTGACGCCAAATTTGCTCTGCACGGTGAAATTCACCTCGACTATTGCGACCTCATGATGGTCACTGAGTACAACATTACTTTTCAAGAATAGCATTTCGATCAAGTTCACTATCAGATGCCATTACATTCTGTATAATTGATTCGTAATTGAATTAGTTTGAAAACCACAAGATAAGAAAAAAAAAGTAAACAAAGCTTTAAAGAATTCAGCCATCGTTCAATTGAGTTCGTTGCTGTAGCTATCAGGACTTCATTTTTACTCTAATATATATCAGTAAAAATATATTTTTGAACTAAAATCATATTTTAATTATGTAGAAATATTTATAATTTATTTCAAACTTTTTAGTATTTTTAAAGTTGTAAACCAGTGTCATCTATCGGAATATTTGTTTCGAAGTTTTCGTGTTTTATCTTTTAGATAAACATGTTGTTATTTTGAGTTTTTTTTTTCATTTCAAAAGAAAGTCAACGAGTCAAATCGTTTTACAAAAATGCCGGTGGATTTAAGTGGAGGTAGTTTTAAAAAATAAATAAGTCGGTAGAATCGTTTTTTCTTGCATAATACAGGTTCTATTCCGGCAATCTATCGTGATCTATACGAAATGATTAATTTACATGGACTGGAAAAGTTGACATTTACTATATTTGTACCTTTGTTTGAGTCGGATACATTAACACAAGCCGTTTTAAATCAAGCAAGTTTATTAAAAAGACGATAGAACATTTTTAGGAATGATAGAACACTTTACTTGTTATTTTGTTAAGATTTGGTATAGCGTCACTAAGTCAAGTTCAATAGGCTCACGCAATGATTTTTACAAATGTTTGGCATTAATGGCACTTGCTCAACAAGGAAAAACAATTGATGAGAAATTATTGGACAATTATGTAAATCGAGGTATCATATTTCATGTATGATACATAGAAAAAGAATAGAACGATTTTCTTGTCTTGTTTTAGACCTACCGATACCAAAAATTGATAGTATAACCGATTTAGAAGATCGTTTAATTCATTTACTTCGGAATGCTCAAAAAAACACTACTCTCTGTTTTCGTTATAATGATCTCTGTTCACTTGATACTATTGATGTGGACGTAGCACCCGAAAAAAAAGGCAACAAACAATTTTCTCTTAAACGAAAAACTTATCTCTAATTTAAAATTATATTTTTCAGGTATTATTATACGACATGTTGAATATGAAATTACCAGTATGGTACGTATTTTAGTTCTTTTTATTATTGACATATGTCATCCTCCTTTTCTTGTTTCATCAAACATAATAGCGTCTAAAAAACAAAGTTTCACGTCGTTATAATGACTTTCTTGCATTACACGAATTATTGACTTCAAAATACCCATATCGAATAATACCATCACTTCCACCGAAGAAAGCTATTAATGGTCTTATTTTGTTTAGCTTGAGCTGTTTTTTTCAATTAGATGATTATAAAACAAAAAATTGCTTATGTCCGCTTATAAATTTTTTCTCCAATTAATAATTGGTGTAAGTCAGCTACTTCAATTTTTTTTATCATATTTTTAGTTGATAAAGAATTTATCGAAGAACGTCGTCGTTCATTAAAACGATATCTTCTAATCCTATGTCGTCATCCAACTATTTACGACGCAGAAATTATAAAATTTTTTCTAACTTTTCAAGGAACAGTGCGTATTTTTCATAAATGAAAATAACTTTTAATTAATATTTTATGTTATTCATTAGTCATGTGGTGATAATATGAAAGCAACATATAAAAATGTTCTCGATGAATTCAGTTCTGAATCTCAATCATCATTGAATTTGAATGATAATATTGACGTAATAAACCGAATCTTTTTTATACAATTAAAAACAAATCGAACTTTTTTTAAAAATTTTCGTAGAAATGTGGAGAAGATTATGATAGTATACGAATGTTTCGCGCAAGCCAAACACACATTTCATTTCTTCATCAACAATTAAATCAAATTCGTCGATGTTTAAAAAGTATCAATGAAAAAAATTTTAAAAATGCCAATGATTTTGCAAATCTTGGAAACAATTTACAGTTAAAATATTCATATTTACATATATATATTGATATTAACATTGGCTTAATTTTTATTTAGGGCACTTGCTTCAGATTCAACAAGTATCGATCGATGGGCAACAGGTCCTAATGATTATTGGCCAACAATTCAAATTGGTCTTGGCAGTTTACCTATTGAAATAAATGCTATTTCAGAACGAGTTAATGAACAATGTAAACGTAATGACGAAGTTATTAATGATCATTTGGATATGTTAATTGAATTACTTCAAGGATATAATGTGAGACGAAATATTTTTATAAATAAAAATTTAGTTATATTTCTTGTTAGGATTTATGTAAACGATTAGAAGAAACATTAGAAAATGAACGAAAAGCTATTCAAAAAGCGAATAATCAACAAAGACGTTCATCGACAATAACCGATACAACACCCAAAGTAATAATAAATTAGATAGATATCTGTTAATAAATAAAAAAATTCAGAAATCTGGGAGAAAAAAAAATAAGAACTTTAAAAAATCAATTATTAAACAATTAAATTAGTCATAGACACAAAAAAAAAACACTAGAGTTTCCATCTTTTTAGTGAACTATCATGGTTTTTTTGTGGATTTGATATCTCGAAAAGAAACTACTCTTTTCGACTGAGATTCTAATGACTTCAAAACTGTAGGACAAAACTTATTTGTCCGATTTTTTAATCAATACCATGCCAAAGATAAAAAAATCTAGTATAATAGCTATAACTCCAAAAGAGCAGTGTATGAGAAAGAATTTTTCTAATTTGAACAGGTCCTACGTAATGAGTGATGTTTCGTCTCAAACGTGAGGTATCATCTCGGATAGTTCCCTCATGAGATCTTCAGTAAATATGATGTAGTTCGATGAAGCAATATCGTAGAGATCTCGAAGACGTGTTATTTTATAGTGAATGATTTGCTCTACCATTTCATGTGATGTGAGCAAATTTTATGTCCGACACTGAAAAACTAAAAGTTTGGTTTTCTGAAAAACCCGTAGTGATCATTCTAAATGTTACTATCTCTTCTCTGCTTAGTTTTTGTAGAACTTTCATTGATTGAAAAATATTTTACTTCAAAAAAAAACAAACTCCAACTTGTGTAGTTTTTTTTTTCAAACTTATCGATTTTGTAACTCAAAGATAAAGCAATACCAAAATATTTTTCTCATCAATTGATAATTTATTGCAGTTTTTTAATTTCATAATTTCTTTTTTTTCTACTATTGTTCTACAGATAGTGATCAAAGTGGGGAGGGGCATCAAGAATTAATATCTGTAGATTTTCAAAATTATGATTTGTTTTACTTTCAAATATTGAAATTATGATATTTCATTTTTTTTTTAAATATTTTTACAGAATGATATTAGTCTTGAAATGCTTGAAAAACGTAATCGACATGCACTTCAATGTGTACAAATTGAAACACAATTAGTTTATGCAAATTTAGAAGCATTTGTTTATATTCTAAGTAGTCTTGGTAATAGTCAATGTAAAGGATCATCAGATGTATGTTTATTAAAGAAAGAATTTTCTATTATTATGTCTTGTTTTGTTTTATTTTAAAGTTTTTCAATATATGGAAATCATTTGCAAATGAAGTATCTCGACTTGGACAAACTTATATTACAAAATCACCAATAGACAGAAGGGATACAACAGTATACCGAAAATAATAAAAAACAAAAAAAAAGAAAAATTAAATGCTATTGAATTGATTTCATTTCATTTTTTTTTATTATTATTTTTATTTAAAAGATAAAATTCATGGATGAAGAGTAAAATTAAAAATAAAATTTCTTTTTTTTTTTATGTTTCATTATTTTTATGTAATTCATTATACAATTCAATCCAATGAGAACGTAAAAATTCAGCTGGTGGTAATGTTTGATATTGATATGGAATATGAATTGGAGAATCTTCTGTTTGTTGTTGTATTTGATGATGATGTTTATTTGTTGAATCAATAAATCGTTGGAAAATATTATTTGAATCAATTAATATTTTCATATTTATATTATTAAAAAGAAATATAAAGAAAATTAAATAGTAACAAAACCAACGAGCCATAAGAATATATTTTTATCTTAAAAACAAAAACAAAATATGAAAAAGATAATTATCTATACGAAAACATCGATGAATAGTTTATTTTATTAAAAAGAAACTATTTATACTGTAATGAAAGTATCATACATGCTGTTTTTCTCATTCAGTATAATGAATATATTTTTAAGAAATAGAATCAAATCTTTGTAGTAGATATATATATATATATATATTCTATTGTTCTCATGTTGATTAGATCTATATCACGCACATAGAGATTATTCATGTATGTTTTTTTCTTTCATATGATATGCATGTATTTGTGTCTGTCATAGAAATTCAGGAAATAAAATTTGACAATAGACAACGCAAAGAATCGACTTGTATTTTTTATTTATGAATAACAATGATAATAACATTAATTAAATTCATATTAAATAATGACATGCACAAAACAATTCATGTTTAAGGTCTCTAAACATTAACATGACAAAAAAAAAAGAGAAATTAGATCTTGTTATTTTTGTTTTTATTTCATTAATTAATACTTTTTCATTTTTAATATGAATTGACAAGAAAAAAATTGATACAGGGTGGTCCAAAAGTAATGTTATTGAAAGAAAAATAAATTGAATATTTTCATTATGGCTCGAGCAAACGGGCTGATTTTTTTATCGCTAGCAAAAGGTGGTGTGCTCACATTTCATATTCATAAAGACAAGGCAAGACAGAATCTTTTACTTTTTCACCGTTAGGAAAAAACCAATATATGTAACAAACGGTCTCTCTAGGAGTGTCTTTATGGATATAAAACTTGAATATGCCTCTCTCATTGGTAAAAAATCAGCTCGTTTAATAGAGCCGTAATGGAGATATTCAATTTTTTTTTTTTTCGGTAAAGTAACTTTTGGGCCACCCTGTATAATAACAAACAAAGAAGGTCTGAATAATTCTAACTTATATTTCACATCAAAAAAGTAAAATTGTAATCAGAAATGTCTCGAGGTTGTCAGGATCGGGAAAAGTCAATTAGAAGATTTTTGATCGGGAAAGGGATCCAGCGTTTATTTTTTTATTTCGAGAATCAGTACGCAAAATAACGAATAAAATACTTGAGAAAAACCTAAAGGAAGAAATCGTGTAAGAAGTCAAGTGGATCTAGTGGTACTTTTCGTGGCCAGCTCCATTGAATCCATATATAAAAAAATATGTTGAGACTAACATTTCATGATGTTTTGGTCAAACTTTGAAATTCAATCAGTATTTAGAAGATTTCAATTCGCTGTAACTTTTTTTTTTTTCGTTGAACAAGTTATCCTAATCCTCCTCCGAGATCAGATGAAAAATGAATTGCATCAAAACACTATTTGGACATTATAAAAAAAAACCTCGAAAGTTATTTAACATTATTGTATGGTAAAAGTGCAGGTATCTAGAAAATAAAAGCAGGATTTTCATGAAGTTCATTTTTCGAAGAAAAAAAAAAAGTTACAGAAATTCTTTAAATTGCATAAGATCAATTCAGTTTTTTATGTTGATTTCGAATATCATATTAGTTTTGACTCAAATTGAACTTATTCTGATCGAAATCTTCTAAATATTGATTAAAAAGACACAAAACTGCATCGAGAGAATAGTATGTTAAGCAATTTTTAAACTACTTAAGGGTATCTGAAAGTGGTGCCAGTGACACTTTTATATCATGTAGTACCTTTTAAGAAACTTTTCTCTATATAGTCTGATAGAGAAAAAAATGCTCTATTTTTCTATGCTATTTGATCATACCTTCAACCAGTATCATAATAATAAAATTTCGATAAGATCTATTTTGTTCCCATATGTCACGGTTATATAAGACTCATTTTTAAAAAGGGGCAGATGAATATTTTTCGAATAACTTTTGTTAGAAGTAAGATAGAGAATTGTGGTTTTCACTGTTGGAAAGAGAAGATGAAGACGCATCGAATTGTGTATTACAAGGTTTCCTGATCTGGTTTTTTTTATAAGTTTTTCAAATGACCTTTTCAAGAGCATACCTGTCTGAGAAGTTGTTACTATGAATTTTCAATTATCAAGTATAGATTCAAATCACTAATCGAAGATCTACAATATGTATTTTAGTGGAACTCCTAATTCTGTTTTCCTGTAATTTTTTGAAAAAATCTCACTTTTATCCCTTTCGCTTTTCTGATAAAAAAAAGAATATTTTTCTGAGAGTTAAGAAATCGAATAAAAATGCTTCACAAATCGATATTAGAAAAACCAATAATACATGTTTCGATGCATCTTCATCTCCTCTTTCCAAAAATGAAAATCGCAGTTCTCTATCATATTTCTATCAAAGGTTAGTCAGAAAATACTCACTAGCATTCATGTAAACATGACACATGGGAACAAAATAGATCTTATCGAAATTTTATTATTATGATATTGGTTGAAGTATGATCAAATAGCATAGAAAAATAGAGCATTTTTTTCTCTATCAGACTATATAGAGAAAAAGCTTCTTAAAGGATACTAAATGATATAAAAGTGTCACTGGCACTACTTTTGGATACCCCTAAGTAATTCAATGAGGTTCTCAAGATTGACGGAAGATCCCAGATGGTAATTATTGAGTGCAATAGATAATTCAATCTGTTTGTGAAAGATTCAATAAAATGATCATGAAAAAAATGTATCCCAGCATAGATAGAATAGACCAATCATCCTGTGATTAATAAAAACAGCTACATCGTGTTTTACATTGAAAATCTTGCAAAGATTGTACTAAAAACTTTTTTCTCATGTTGAGAAACAGTCCATGAAAAATCATTTAAAATAATTATTCATATTCTTTGTATTAATAAGAATTTCATTGAAAAATATTATCTTTTATAAAAAATACTTTTGTAATCAATTACATAAAAAGTCTGTTTGCTTCTGTTATTTGATGCATGTGAAAAAATGTCATTTATTTATTTTTTTTGTTGTTCTTTCTTTGACAACAAAATGAAGAAGATTTGAATATATATATTACTTCATGTGTCTTTATTATCATGCGTTTTTTTTTGTTTCTTGTCATTTACATATAAAGAAAGGTATCTGTCAAGACTAATAAATGTGTTTTTATCTGTACAATAAATGAGAATGTATTGCAAAAGAAAATAAATAAGAATAATATCTGATCAATGTTGAATAGATTCTATCTGATTGATTTCTTCAATTAATCGTCGTCCATGTGATGACCAATCAATATCACTAACACGCATACACGTAAGTCGCATTCTTTGTTCATCCTGTAAATGAAAAGAAAAACAAACATGACAAATTTGTATTAGTATTATATTAATAAAAATTTCATTACATTATATTGGTCAGATTTAATGCGAAGTTTAAAAATTCGTTCACGATTCATTGTTTTTTGAAAAATATCGTCGATAATATTTTCATTTTGCTAGAAAAACAAACAAACAAAATTTTCTTAAAAGATAATAAAAATCATACTTACATTAAGTTTATGATTACCAAATTCATCAGCACTAATACCAAGTAATGTTTCAGCTTCATTACGAAATGCACTTATCCATTGAGCACCAGTAGAATCCGAGATTTCAGCCTAGAGAAAAAAAACCAAAATCAAAATAATATTTATTTTTAAAAAAAGAAAACTCGGACAACATATTTTTTTGTTTCTGGAAGAATATCAAGTAGTATTAAAACAATTTCAATATAGTAAAAGAGCTCAAGGGTATTCACCTTGTCTTGAACTACTCCTGGTTCTCTAGGAGAGTACAACCGGTGGAGCTCAAAATTTTTTACAAAAAAATACGAGAAATTGATATTTTTCAAAAAGACTTAAAAATACCTGGAAGATTTTGTCTCAGGTATCTTCAAAAAAAATTTCCGCTCAATCGGACAACGTAAGACTAAAGTCGTAAGCAGATCTTATCATTTTCAATAATCTAGCTGTGATAAACTTTTGAGCCCGAATAATTGTATTCTCGCAGAGAACCAGCAGTAGCTCAGGAAAGAGGATACTCTCCTTTTCCAGTATTTATGGTGAATGACTAATTAGTTACATACTTTCCTGTAGGAGAGTTTGAAGTTGCAAGAACGATAATTCACCTTATGTCCTTTCCTCAGCCGTCGTGCATTTGATAGTGCTGAAAATTGTTTTATAGATATTAAACATTGTTTAGGTTGTCTCAGTTTTCTAGTTCCGAATAAAGACTTCAAAGTTCCAACAGCATCCTGTACACTTTCTAATATAAATAGAAGAAAGTTTCAACGCGAAATAATGTATAAATTATGATGTTTCATCTATTCTGATTTTTTTTTTGCTACGAACGAGGCTTTCATCGAATCAGTTCAATATTCTAATCATTTTTTTTCGAAAGGGAAGAAAATGACTGCAGGTGTCTCTTAGAATATCGCCAATAGAAGCTTCAGTCATTGAGTGACTATCAGTGTATAGATGTTTCAAAACAAAACATACCGAAATCATATAAGACCATTTAAAATGATTATATGTTTTATTACACTTTTCACATCGAAATGTTCCATTATTTTCATCGACAACTTTTTTTCCACATCTTTCTTCAGGACACATCTAATAAATTAAGCAAAAAAAGAATGTTGATATTCATTTTAATATTTCTATTTACCATATAAACAGCTGTATCTTTTTTAATTAATGTAGTCGTTGCTTTTATATTTATATAATCAGGTTTATCATTTAAACCAAGACCTTCAGTATTTATTTGAGAAAGTGTTTTAAATGGTACTTGTTGATTTCCTATATCAGCTCCTTTTGATAAATCAGGTAAATCCATTAATTTTCCTTCTTTATCATACCAAGTACGTAGCTCTATTGTACGTTGTGTTTCAATTGGATCTTGAGAAATTAATGTTGAATTTAATGTTGATAAAGTTCGACCATTAAAATCACCAATACGTATTCCTTTAAAAGCAACAACAGGATTTGATGAATTTTGAAAATCTTCAGCCTAGAAATATAAAAACATAAATTTTTTCATTTTTTTTTTCTCTTTTTTAATAAATTTACTTGTTGTCCCCATAATGTTACTGTTATTGATGCATTTTCATCAACTAAAAGTAATTCACGTTTATTAAATTCTTTTTGTGATGTTTTACTAATAATTGTATCTATATTTGATATACTTTTAACAACACCAATAACATCTAAACAAAACATTAAATTTCAATTTTGTTTTTTTTGATGATTATTTTTTAATATTTTTACCACAAACATTATTTGCTGGTCGATTAGCAATTTCACTAATTGGAATAAAATTAAATTGTATTTGAGGAATAGATTGTCCTTCATCAGTATCACATTGTTCAATACATGTATCATAATTAAATGTCATTTCATAATCATTATTTAATGAATTAAATTGTCGATTAGCTGGTTTAAGTGATGCTCGAGCAATATAATAAACCTTTGAAAAAAAAAATTTTTGTTTTTTAAATTTATTTAATTATCTTTAAAAAAATTATACTTTTCCAATTTCAAGTAATGAATGAAATTTATCACATTCAGTATTAAATGCTGCTGCACGAATTTCACCTGATTGATCAACAAGATCACAATTGAATAATTTTCCTGGACCGCGTGCATTTTGATAATTTCGTATTTGACTTTTACTACTAACACGAACTTTTATTGTCCATCTAAAGATATTTTTCTTAATGAAAATTTTTTTCTGAATAAATAATATTCAAAAAAAAACAAACTTATTCATATATGGATTGAGTGTATCAATATTAACAATTCGTTCTTTATCAATCGTATTGCTTGCTTTTGCAGTTAAACGATTATTATCACCATTGAAGTTTTTCGTATTATTTCGATCATCTATTGTTGGTAATGTTTTAGAACCATTTCGAATAACATTTGTAGCTGAAGATGCTTAAATAAAAGATAAAAAAACTCAGTGTTTTCAACATTCAATAATTCACGAGCAATACATTTCTTTAGGCTGAAATTTTCAGATCATTCTAAATCTCACGAGATCTACCAATGGGTAAAATTTCAGCTTGAAAGGAAGTGGCGCTTATACCCCCCACAGGTTTGTTTTTCGCACAAATATTTTTTGGTTGTGAGCAGTATGAAGATGTAAAATCATTCAACTAGACCTTAGACATTTTTAGTCTTAGCAGAAAAATCATTATTTTAGAGAACGGTCATTTATATAGGAAAGTATTATTTAGAGGTTTCTATAGTTGAAAGTTGGTTTTTATGTAAAATGAGTATGATATTCAGAATCAGCATGAAAAATTACACTAGACAGTCTATTTTTCATTGTAAAATATTTTCCATAAAAATTTGGCCCGTAGGGGACCAGGGGGGAAAATCTCATAGATAAAAGGCTGAGGGGGAGTAGGGAGTCAGATTTCCATCGAAAATATTTTACAATGAAAAATAGACTATCTAGTGTAATTTTTCATGCTGATTCTGAATATCATACTCATTTTACATAAAAACAGAAATCTCTAAGTACTCCCTATTTTCTAGTACTTTCCTATGTAATTGACCGTTCTCTAAAATATTGATTTTTTTTGCTAAGACTAAAAATGTTCAAGGTCTGGTTGGGTGATTTTACATCTTCATACTACCTACAATCAAAAAATATTGAAACGAAAAGAAACCTTGCGGGGGGGGGGGGAAGGATATAGCCTACAGAAAAAAGTGCCACTTCCTTTACTAATTCTACTGCTTCACTGTGTTCGAATTCTATTCGGCTTCTACAAATCTTGTTGGAGTCTACTTATGTGCTAAATAGTAGTTCGATTGGTGAGTCATACTTGAGAACGTTCTCTCGTAAGTTCAATATAGAATCTTCTTTCATAATTATTCTTGTAAATAGTGTATCTAGCCCAATTAACTCTGTGGTAATATTTTTCTTTACTCTTGTTGAAAGAAGTGCTCTAGGCTGTCTTTTGCACAACACAATGTAGCTGCTATTGATCATCAATAGCAATTACCTCGTGTTTCACATTTCTATCCCATCGAGATTGCACTAATAGCTATTTTTCGTACCTGTAGTTGTTGATGTTTGATTATTATCGTTTGTTTCTAAATTATTACCAATGAAAAATAACTTAATAAAGTTTTCAAAAATATTTTACCTGAACGATTTGTATTATTATTACCATTATTAATAATATCAGTTAATGGTAATGCAACTGGATCACCAATTCGTTCACTATCACTTTGAAGTACTTCAAGTTCATAAAGCATAAGCATAACTCTAGATTTAATTATTTTAAATTATTATTTTGTTTTTTTTGTTAAAACTATTCTTTACCGTCCAGTTTGTTTATCAATTGCATTAACCATAACACGATCAATACGAACAATTGAATTTTCTTTTAAAGAATTCATTTCAATTAATTGATTCATTTGTGTACCAAGCATACATGCTAAATATATTCATTGTTATTTATTTATATGAAATTAAATATATATAAAAATTTCTTACATGAAAATGTACTTTTACCATCTGATAACATAAGACGATAACGTTTGGCAGATACTGATGGATCATCAGTTTTACTATCAATTGTTTTAATACCCTTAAGAAAAAAAGAAATTTTTTACATATTAATTTTTTCAAATAAATACATACGACGACTTGTAAAATTGCTTTTTCTGAACTATTTCCACGTAAATATCTCTGAAGAAAGAAAACAAAAAAAGGTTTCATATGAATTAATATTTTAAATAAAATTTTACTAAAAGAGCACCAGTTGTAAGTCGTTGGCCTGACATATTAAATCAATCTGAAATAAATACATCATGCATTATTATTATTATTATTATTATTATATTACAACGAAAAATTTTTAAAATTATTCAAAACAATAAAAAGAAAAAAAAAAAGACTAAAATCCATTTTCAATATTATCAATTAATCGACGACCATATTCACTAAAATCAATATCACTGATTGACATACACGAGATTTTAACCGTAGTAACATCCTTAAGAGAAGACAAAAAAAAATTATAAATTATAATAATGAATGGTCGATTGGCAAATAATCAATTCATTTTTTTTTATTAGAATATGTTTATACGGTAACTCAATCGAAAGCAAAAGAGTATCAATCAAAAGGTTAAGTATAACAATTATGGATGATCACCGAATAGACCCTACATAACAGTTCTGACCTCAATGTTTAGTACCATTAAGTGTACAATACTATTATAAATAACATGCAATAGGAGTAAAGTTCCGAACTGATTTTGTTTGTCGCATTGAAAATTCATGCTATATTTTATTTTCGAATAAAATTTACTAAGTGATAAAAAGAAAACTACAAAAAAACCGATCCTTCAATATAGGCAATAAATTTCATATTTACATTAAATGTTTCTTGATTAATACGTAAACGAAAATATTTTTCACGAAATGTATTTTTATTTAAATATGTTTGCATAAGTATTTCATCATTCTAGAAAAGAAAAGAAAAATTCTATATTAAATAGATCTTTATAAATTATAGCTGCAAAAAATAAATCCACTAGAAGTAAGCAGCAATGAAATTAGACTTCTAGAATGACGTACGTTTTCTTTTGCTTGAGCGAATTGTTCAGCTGTTATATTACCCATAAGTTCTTTTGCTTGTTGTTGAAAAAATGAAACCCATATTACACCAGTTGAATCAACAAGTTCAGCCTAAATAAATTTTATATATGTTTTATTATCATTTATTCAATAAAAACTTACACGAAGCATATAATTCCAATGACATTCATTAAAATCTTCTCGACATTTATCACAATGATAAAGACCAGATGATAATTTATTTACTTTTCGAAAACAATCATTATTTGGACAACTCTATACAAAAACAAAAATCTTCTATTCAAAAATAAAATATATAACACAAACCGTATAAACAACTCGATCATTAGCTATATGCATACATATAGCTTTTATCATAACATAATCAGGACGACCTTGTCGACCGAGATGTTCATTTTCAATTTGTGCGATTGTTTTCCATGGATCTAAAATAAAAATTGAAGTATTTCCAGTAACAAATTTATATAGTACTCGTCATCTACTGATACCAAATGTAATTTGCTGATCAAAATATTACAACTATACTATGATCTAAATTCGTACTGTTTAGCAATACATGTAATTTCGCTGAACACAATACTACAATGGGAGTGTGGATGCCCTGGTGAATAAATGTCTTAAATCCCAAGTATTCATAGAAATAAGATTTTTTTTTAAGAGAGGAATTCGAGCTCAGATCGACATTCTGATCTACTTAATTCAAAATATCTAACCTTCTCTTGTTACACGATCTGTTGTTGTTATTATTCGATTATTCGTTAAACGACCACCAGCATCATACCATATTCGAAGATGTTTTGCTTGTGAAATATCCGGATTAATTTTTATTATCATATTTCTATGACCTGATAAACTATATTCTATAATAATAATATTTTAATTAATTAATTTTTTTTTCTTCTCTATTTACTATTATTAAAAATTGCTACTCGAATACCACGAAATGCAACAACAGTTTTATTTTCAGCTAATTCTTCATCGAAATCATTTGCCTAGAGGAACGAAAAAAAAAAGAAAATGTTTAAATCTAATACAAACAATTTTACTTGTTCATCCCATAAAGTTATTGAAATACTTGTATCTTCATCAAGTAATGTTACTTCTCGACGAATTGAATCTTTATTTGATGTTCGATTAGTAAATGGAATTATACCAGAACATGTATCAACAATACCAATAACATCTTTAATTTTGAACAAAAGAAAAAAAATTTATAAATAAAAAAAAAAAAGAACTTATTTTTACCAATAAATGATTCACTAGAATATTTTGAAATATCACGAAGTGGAATAAATTCATAATGAATATCAGGAATATTTGTATTTATTGTTGTATCATCAACTAATCGAACAATAGAACCTGGTGTTAATGTTAATTCATAATTATGACGAAGATTATTAAATCGTTTATCAGCTGTTTTAACTCGAACACCCAATATATCATAAATCTTTTTTTTTTAAACAAGAACATAAATATTTATTTAGTAAAATTTTTCTTTTACCTTATCAATTTCAATCATAGGATGAAATCGAGTACATTCATCACGAAAAGCAGTTAGACGAATTTCACCACTAGCATCAACAAAATCAAAATGACATACAGGAAGTGGTCGTATAGGACTTTTAGCAATACATCGTGCGCGAATTTTCCATCTTAAATAAAATAATTTATTAGGTAAATATTAGAAGTGAGAGGGTCGACAACTGTTAATTTGATTTCTTCTATGTCAAAAGTGAGCCCTAGTAGATTGAAATGTCACGTGTACATTAAAATAATTTTTTTATGAAATTCATTTCAGAACCTAATCTTGGATGTTGATTCAGAATATCAGCTCTGAAAATTGTCTCGAAACTTTCGTCGGCCAATGTTTTTATATCATGTTGAGGCCGTTGAAAAGCGTGCTGTCAAGTCTTATGAATACTATTCTGGTGAGTCTTCCGATCCACATTCTAAAACGAGCTAACCTTCTTTAAGGCCCTCCCCTCAAAAATCGATCTTCGCCCAGGTACGTTCAAATAGGCTGAGATTTGGAGTAGATGTTGGGACTGAAGTGAGGATGATGTAGTAAAATTTTCAGCTCGATATCCTGACATTTAACAGAGATATGAACCAAACAAGGATCAAAAATTGCTCATTTTGTTCCCAAGATTTCTCTGTGGGCCTTCATCCAATATGTAGATTTTTTTTTTGTTTGAAAGAGTATCTCAAGATACAAGTCTTGTGAGGTTCCTTTTTTTAAAACTCTTATCTATCAAGCAGATAACAGGGTTAACAAGTTCATTCACTCGAAAAACTCTCAAAAAATGGCGCTCTAATTATAAAAATGCTTCTCAATATAATAATAACAAAGCTTCATTCAGAAAACCGAGCCTCACAGGACCTGCAGTTTTTGACACTCTTTCAAACAAAAAAAAGAATATTTGACTTTATATCGAATTATAGTTGACTTTCGCTGCAGATACGTCATTCGACCACCATTTTGAGAAAAAATGAAAAAGATTTTTGGGTTTTTCGAATAGGAGTCGTCAAAAATATTGAAAATTTTTCGGAAAAAAGGAGGTATCAAAGAAAAGTTTCTTTTTTCGTTTATGAAAGAGTAAATGACAGACTATCCCCCCGTGTATTTATCTCAACCTTGACCATTCTGACGAAAACTAACTTTTTTGAGGGGGGAGCCTTAACACCCAGGTATAGAGTCATTAACTATTTCAATTCGTCCGGACACAGTACAAACAAATATTATAGATCTAATTCTACCAGGGATCACCTTCAGACACCTTGCGTGTGAGTATGACATGACAGAAATCAGATTGATTTCATCAGTTATCGATCCCCCCTCCCCTCTTGCCAACTATGTTTTACTTTACACTTACATTCCATTTAAATATGGTGTTATCATTTCAATTGGACAGATATTTGTATCTGGTCTATTATTATTATTTACAGTAGTCACTGGTGATTGTGGTAATATAGTCAATTTAAGTATAACTAAAAACGATCTAATATATACTAGAATAATTTATTTTGTCAGATAACAGAATCAAAGCATACTTTCCAGTACTTGTTAAATTATGTGCAACATTTTCTAATTTAACAATTGAATTCTCGCATAATTGTTGTTCTTTAATTAGTTTATTTAACTCTGGTGTTAAGATACAAGCTAAAGAAAATGAGAGTTTGTTGGTTTTTTTCTTCTTCTTTCTATCAAACAACAAAAAAAATCACTCAATAATTAACCATTAAATGTATCTTGACCATCGGTTATCGATAAACGATAACGTTCAACATCGGTTGTTGTAGAAGATTCACATTGTCGAATATTCTGAATAATAAAATATTTTAAAAAAACAAAAATCAATTTCTTTTGATCGAATAAATTTTCATACAAGAACTTTAACAATTGCTGATTGTTGTGTATTTCCATTTTGATAACGCTATAAATTTCTAATTAATTATTTAAATAAATGATATAAAATGATATAACATACACTAATAGATCCTTTCGTTAAACTTATTGATGCCATTGTATTGAAGGCGCGAATCAAAGAATATCTTTTGTACTTTCATCATTATTATGCAATAATAGATGGCGTTATTAAAAATTAGTTTAATCAAATTTAAATATAAAAATGATAGAAATTTTTTAGATTTTTCTTTTAGAATAAAAAATTTTTCTTTTCTTTTATTAATTGAATTTATTATATGATTGGATAATGATACATTAATGTTTATTTATTTATTTGCCTTATATAGACTGATTTTTAGTTTTGTTCTTTTGTTGAAGTTACTTTTTGCTATAGAAATTACATAAAAACATGTTATCTACTCTTTATATATATATAAGTACGATTTTCATATGTCATAATTCAAACATTGGATAGTCGTCGTCATCAACAAGATGCATTTTGTAAGCAAATTAAAAAAAGAAATCTGCCGACTATAATTGTACTTACAAATGAAGAATGTACATATAATAATCTCAAAATTTTGATCTGGTAAATAATTTATTTATCTTCATATTATTCATTCCAATTAAATAATATCAAAGAAATAAAAGTTTTCTTAAAGAAAACATTCTTTGATGAATATACATTTATTAATATTAGAAATTATATTTGAATTATTTGAGGAAAGTATCCAATTGTTTTCATCCAAAGACATTTAATTACAGCGTGTGTCCAACTGCGCAGTATGCTTTTTATTACACATTCAGTAAAAAAATTAGTTTCACCATATGAAATACTTCGAAAAAAATTCACTGTTTAAGGGTATCGGTGTAACGCGGTTCGGTATTCCTTAAGCTGGTGTTCTCCATTATGAAAAAGTATTTCACCTTTCGAAAATAATATCATTTTCGAAAGATGGAACATCTGTTTAAGAAATGCCCACGGTTGTCAGTGCATATGTCGGTGTCGGCATCCCTCAGAGTAGCATCTCTCACACCTAATTTAGTATCTTACGAAAATTTTGTGTGCAAAAATCGTAATTGCCTTTAGACTTTTAACAATTTCTTGGTCTATGTGACCTATCTTTTTTTTAGTAAAAAACATTTTTTCATTCACCATGGATTTTAATGTTAAGGTAGGAAGCAGCGAAGCATGTTATGTATTGTTCGCAAACAGTCATCTCATACAAACGTTTGTTTTTTATTTATCTATTTGTAGATACACACATTAATGTTAATGAACATGATTGATGAGATCCTCTAATTTGCAATAAAACAGAAAAAACTTCTATCTGTTGTTGGTTCATTTAGTATGCAAGAATTAGTGTTGATAAGCAGTTAATAAATATAGTATATGTATGCGTAGCTTAGTATCTTCTAATAATTAATGTAGTATGAATAGTTGAATTCACGTTGACCTTGAATAAAGTACGATATATATAGAAAAACATAATGAATATCTAATATCCTATATTGGATGAATAAATTTTTGAGAAAGATAATAAAATGAAATACGTTCTACAAGGTCGCTTATTTTTTTTTCAGAGGAAAATAATGAATTGTTAAATGACATTTGAATACTTCCAGTTTGTTTTTTTTTAATCATATGTTGGATCTGAAAACTACGAACTTAAGGTTACGATGTATGTAATAGAATTTGTCTGTTGTAGCTAGAATCAAAATCTAAGTTCCTTTATAAGAAAGAACTAGGTCACATTAGGATAAAGAGGTCGAACGACAGTTAGGATGATATGAGTATAATGAATTGCATGGATATACATTTGTTTTAAGAAAAAAAAGCAATAAGACAGTTCAGAGAATTTACTTTTAAGAATAGATTTTTATGAGTTTGATAAGTTTTGAATAGATGTTGAAAATTTAAATCTTTTACTATTAGAATAATGAATTAGTAAAAAAGTGTATTTCAAATATTGCTTCTACGATACTTGAAAAATGTTCTCTTGTCATATAATCAAACTCTATTACCTATTTTGAATGAATAAAAAAAAAGATATTTAGAAAATTTTTTAGATGAACATTCATAATATACTTGATCTACCTAATGAAATACTTGAAATCATAGCATTTAATATAATTGATGGACCATGGAAAGACGATGTAAATGATTTTCTTTCTTTTACATCAACTTGCCGACGATTTTATCAATGGTCTCATGACGAAAAATATTGGCAAAAACTAGCGTTGAGACGTGATCCAACAAATAAAAAACCAACGGAAAATATAACATGGTTAGATTATTGTAAACAAAGTAATTAATATATATGTACTTTTTTTTTGACAAAAATCTATTTTTCTATTTAGTTTTTCTTATGCGTACAATATCATCTGATGAACTTCAAAATATACTAAGTCGATATAATAAAAATTATTTTTGTACAATTGAAAAAATTCTTCTTTGGTTTGATAAAATACGTATATATATTGATGAACGTGGAGATTATTCTCTTGGTTAGTTAATCTAATAAAACAAAACATTGTAAATATTATTATTTTCAAATATACAGGTAGTATTCAACATCCTACATATTCAACAATAGCATTTCTTGATGAGAATTCTTCTGATTCTTATGAACATTGTAAAGTAACAGTTTCTGATAGTAAATTTTCTATTGAGAATGATGCATCACAATATTTAGGTAAGTGTAATTTTTATTTTGTTAGTTATCGATTTATTTTCGTTGTTTTTTTTTGTTTAGGTTATTTAGATTTTGTAATAAATATTTCATTTGATTGTATTGAAAAAGTACTTTATTTTCAATATGGTTACAATGGTTATAGTATAATAAAACTTTTTCATGTCGAACAATCATTTATCGATAAATATAATCTTCTTCCTTTAATGAGAAAATGTCAAAACATTGGATAATAAGTATATTCTATTTTGATGAATAATATTTATTTTTGTATGATTCGATACTAACAGAGAAAAAGAAAAGAATACTTGAGGTATTTGCTTTTTCAGTATTTTGATTCGTTCCTTCGAGTTTTTTTTTTCGTGTCTTACGATACCGAAGTTTCTTTTTTTGTTTTTTTCTTATTCATTACTTCTCTCATCATGGTCACCTGGTGATACGAAAAGACGAGTATTTTACCTTTCTATCTTTGCTTTGTTTTTTTTTTTTTTTTTCTTTTTACGTACACTTTTAAGTGAGTGCGAAATAGTCGAATCACTCCCGCCTTTTTTTCCTAATGCATTCACAAAGATGATGTGTGGAAGCGTTTGTTTGCTCAAGTCGTCAGCTGTCTCAAGGACATGAATATAGGTATGTGTGCACACATATATAATCTATTTCATATTTTTTCTTTTTCAATCCTCTTTTATTTTTTTATCTATAAAAAGCAATCAATATAATGCTTTTTTTTTTTGATATTAAATTAACTTAGTTTTTCTGTGAAAACGAGAGAAACTAATTTTAAATTAAAAAAAACAAAATTTGTGAATATATGCAATGCATATAACTCGGACTTTTTTTATCATTATTATTGTTTTTTTTTATTCTTTCAGATTATGCTTAACTCTATACAGAAAGCCTGTTCGAACAATCGTTCTTCCGTTTTGTGGTCTGTCAAGAGTCGTACGAAAACACGCTCTTCATATCTTTTTTCCCATCAAATTTCTTCGTCAAACAATATTAAAAATCATAAACAATTCTTTCCTCTTCAAAATACATGTCCAATTGGATCATTAACAATTATCATGAATGAAAATCAATAACATTTATTCAATCAGCAAAATTATATTTGATAAAAAATAAATACAAAAAAACAAAAAAAATTATAAAGTTTATATACAAGTTTCGTTTTTTTTCTTCTCCTTATATTTTATTTTTTTGTTATTCCATAAATATGGCGACCAATAATGATCTTGATGATTTCTTTAAAAAAAAAGATCGAAAGGGTAATAAAAGTAAAAAACAATCCGGTTTATTAACAAATAATCAAGAATTACTTAAACAATTAGGTAAATATTAAAAAAAAAAAATTTTTTTATTTATTTTTTTGAACTTTGTTTATATATTGTTCTTCTAGAAATTGTTACATCTGCAACAACAGCATTTAAAGAAAATATGGATTTTGATGATGATGATGAATTACACGTGAATGATGAATCACTCGTTGGAACAGGTCTTACTGATGAAATTCGTAAACATCCAATAAAACATAATAAAATAAAAAATCCTGATAATAATAATAAAAATATAAATGAACAAAATACAATTATATCTAATGAAGGACAACAACAACAACCACAACAACAACAACAACAACAAGATGAATGGGAAGATTTTGAATCTTCAAATTATCAATATGAACAATTACGTTTAAAATTTGCACGTTTAAATAATAATGATGAATATGATGATGAATATTATGATGATGAAAATAATCCAAATAATAATGATGATAATAATGATATAAGTGGTGATCGTCAACAACAAAAAGATAAACCTGTTTGGAAAATTGATCAAAATAAACAAGAAAAAGAAACAAATGTTCCTATTATTGAAGAGAAAATTACCGAACAACCACCACCATCTCAACCAAAACCATCAACAACATCAAGTGGTGTTTATCGACCACCAGCATTACGTACTGGTTCATCAGTTACAATTGTTAGTGGTATTAGTCAACGAACATCAAAAAAGAAAGAACCTAATTTAGCTTCAACTGATGAATTTCCAACACTTGGATCAGCTGCTAATAAAAAATAATTATTAAAAACTTTATCCCTTTCGCCTATTTAGTATTTCCCTGAACGTCGTTGGCATAATTTTTTTTTCTTTTTTTTTCAGTTGCTTCTGTTTTTTTTTTTTTTTTTTTTTTTTTTTGCTTGCTTTCTCTCTCTCGCTCTCTCTCTTTCTGGTTCTATTTTGTTTGGTTTTTTTTTCGTTATAAAAAAAAAAAAAAAGGAAAACTTTTGTCTCTGTTGTTCAGCTTAATTATAAAGTTTATTGCGTTGTTTTCTTTTGAGCTTCAAGAATATTTTTATATAGACGATCACGTATTATATTTGCTTCTGTCCAACGAGCAAGCCAATCTTTTTTTCGACGATATAAATTCGATTGTTCATTATCTTGATGATTTTTAAATATCTCTTTATTATGAATAGTTTTTGAATGACTATGACGTTGTACAGGATGACCATGACAAACAGTAGATCGTAAATCATTACTTATTTTAGTATAATCAGGATTTATTGATGAAAGTGTTGTTTGAGATCGATAATAAATTGGATTATTTTGTTTAATATTGATATATTCAGATTCATTTTTATCATGTTCAACTTTATCTTTATCCGATAGAAGTTTAGTTGTTATTATTGAACGAAAACGATGACAAATATTTTGAGGAACTTGATAACCATTTATATCAGTATAATAATCACCTTCATCAATCACTGGATTATTACCAAGACTTGACATTATACTTGTTTTATTTCAGAAAACAAATGAATATTTTGATAATTAAAAAAGTATTCAGCCATTCTTTTCATTGTTTGTATCAGCATCACTATTGACACTTTTTTTATTTCGTAAATTTCATCAACAGAGGGTGCCAATCATCGGTTGAATGTTCTTTTTTTTTTCTTTTGTCGGAAGTAAATGTCCATCAATTAAAATAAAGTAAATGGAAAACTATAATCATTTTATTGACATATATTGATAGATTGTTTTGAGATTTTTATTACCTTTTCAATCGAATTCTGATGTTTGTTTCATAAAGAAATTTCTTGGAAATTAAAATTGCATATGTTTTTATTCCAGACAACAACATGTTGTCATCAAGATATTTATAAGCAAATGAATGGCTAGAACAGTGTGTTTACATGATAAGAATTGATACATTTATCATGTTTGGTCACGGATAATAGAAAAAGTTTTATCATTCTCTTCCAGTACGAAAAAAAAAAACGAAGAAAGAAAATTTGATATACATATATATTTGACAAGAAAAATAGTATATTTGTTTTGGATTTACTCTTATGTATATATTTAACTAAATTCAAGTTATTTGAAACTTGTCTAATGATTCATCATTATCAACTGCAAATAGTCTAGTAATACGACCAATTAGTATAATACATTTCAACAATCTACTATTTGTCAATATTCATTTTCTTGCTTTTTAATCGGTTCATAATGTACTTATTGTTAATGACTTCATACATTAATATTATCAAATTAAGATATTTTTTTTTCTTATTCAAATTTGATAAATGTTTCTATTTGATCTATTACACAACATCATTTCTGTTGAATACTATCAAATAATTGATAAAAGAGAATAATATGTAATATTATTCATTCCTACTATCAATTCAAAATGAATATAGCAAAAAAAAGAAACACTTATTTTTTATGACTGTGATTGTCTAAGAATTTTTTCGTTGAGTGTGTTTGATCTTGGTTAAGATATCAACATTCACGGATAAATTATTTTTTCTATAATTAGAAATGTTTTATCGTAGCTTTTTTTATAGTCATGGGATTTGAATAGTATTGACTGATTAACGATCTTTCATATGTACAAGATAATCTTTTTGTATGTTCGATCGTTTTTGTTTTTTCTCTTTTTATAAGTGCCCTACCAATTTACCCATTCAACATATAGTCTATATAGATGAAGCGACAGCAGTTCGCAAAGAAAATGTTTGATGAGAGACGGGCAAGCGTATGTATACAATATCATTGACTTGATACAGATATCTATATAGATGAGTATAAAAGGCGAGAAAGAATAAAAGATGTTAGATGCTGGTGAACTTATAACTGCTACCGGCAAGCAATTATTAGATGTCAAAATGCTCACGCATCGTTTTCTTCTGTTAATAAAAAAAAAATGCTCAATCTTTTTTTTTTTTCTCTCTCTCTCTCGTTCTTTCTTTCATTCTTTTACCACATGAGTAACACAGAATATACGCCATTATTTTTTTTTGCTTTTCTCTTCCTTTCGTATTTTTTTTTCTTGATTACAACCCATCCTATCAAGAAAAGGCCTTGTCACCATTGTAGAGAATTACAAAGACGTCGAGAGGAAGAAATTTGCTATTGATTTTTTTCTACTATTTTTTTATTTTTGGTATGTGTACAAACGTTCTTTGGACGTTTCGAAGACAAAAATAAACAGATCTGTCTAGCTTTACATTTTCAATCAACTTGTTATTATTCACATTTGTGTGTGTGTGTAATATATGCCGTCCATTATTTTTTCTCTGGTATTATTATTGCTGACTAATTTTTTTATTCAACCAACAACATGTGCTTTACCTACCTATATACAAAATCTTGAACTTGATGATATTACATCACTCGTAGATAAATTTCCAACATTAATTAACAAAATTAAAGAAGCTGGTATGTTATTGAAAAAAATAACCATATGAAGGTCATTGACGTCTTTGAAGGACGTTTAGAGACATAAATATGTCAAGAAAAAAAAAGCTTGTCTGAATAATATACGAATATAGGTTGTATGATAAGCCGATTCGAATTGTCTGGATTTCACTTTTTTTAAATACTTTGTTTATATTTTATTTGAAGTTAGTTATTGACATTGACATTATGTATATAAAAGATATAAAAATCATATTACTAATAAACACTTGTCAATATTACATAAGAAAAAAAAAGATACAGTAAACGTACAGTTTTAGCTATTTGCATATGAATAATTTAATAGAAAAATAAGACAAACATTGACAGATGTAATGGATAAAAATCTTATTGAAACAAATTAGTTATTGTTATGTGTGACAGATGAGACTGTTTTTTTTTGCCTGTATCTTAATCAAATATGTCAACAGTGTTTTTTTAATTTTTTCATATGAAATTTATTGATAGTAAAATTTCTGAAAAAAAAGAAATTTAATAAATATTATTTCTTATAAATTTTTGAGTAAGATCATTAAAAGATTATACAACATAGATCTCGAATAAACCAGATGTCATAGCATTAAAGTTTTTCGCATAGAAGATACACATCAACTAAAAAGTCGTTTGTTGGTACGAAGAATTAAACATCCAGATGTTAAGTTTTTTCAGTCAATTGAACAGATAAAAATTACATCTGATTAATAATTGTATTACATAGGAAGAAATTTCTGTTTCAATACTTGTCTTATCTATTGGTTTTTTATTTAGTAAATCGATTTCGTTGTCCAAAAGGATGGAGACGTTTGGGTGGTTCATGTTATTATCTATCTGATGTAAGATCAACATCAACTATTGCCAATGATACTTGTAATCATTTACATTCAAATCATTCAAATTTAATGCAAATTCGTAATGCAGTTGAATTATTTTATGCAGCTCATGTTTTAACAAAAAATAATTTATCATCATTAATGATTGACATAGATCCAAATTTATTGAAAGGTAAAAAGAAAAACGAAAGAAAAGATAAAATAACTTTTTTTGTTTCTATTGATTTCATAGGAAAGACAATTGCACAAATATTAATGGAAGATCAAGGTCGATGGCAACGTATGAAAGATAAATTTCGTGACATGCGTATTCGATATTATAAATTAAAAGCTAAAATTGTTGATGAATTAAATTCAGCTGGTTTACGTATATCAAGACGTTCAAAAAAAATAAAACAATCAACAAAAAAATATAAAGAAAAAATTGTTCCTCGTCCTAGTCATTCTAATAACGATTATAATTATGATTATTATGATGCACAAAATATAACAAATTCTCTACATCCTAATCGTACAACAACAATTGATGAATATGAATATGATGATCTTGATTCTGAAGATGAAAATGATGAATTTGAACAATATGATGATATTCAGGGAATATGTGATCAAGTTGATTGGAATGTTTTAAATAATGATTCTACAGTTTATATTCTAACAATTTATTTAAATTCAGGAAAAATACATTGTTCATTAAGTAATGTTGATCCTAATATAGAATATGATCATGTTTGTGAATATGGTTTGTAAATTTGATTTTTTTTCATGTAAATAATATTTTATTTTTCTTCTGGTTTAATTACAATATAGTACTCGATTTTTGCTTTGCTAATATTGTATGTGGCAAACATGGACATTGTGTAAATACGTTATCAGGTTTCAAGTGTTCTTGTTCGTTTTTATATGGTGGTCTTCTTTGTGAAAAAAGTAAGTTTCATTTTCGCTTTTTGCTTATAAGCAATAAAAATAAATCAAAACAAAATAAAATTTGATTAAAGTTTTTGCTCTTACAAATTCAAATTATGTAAATATACGGATATGTTTTAAGTATTATTAAACAAACATTTCAACAGGAGTTTGACATTTATATGCTAATATATATATATATATATTAATATTGGTTAGTTATTACTTATAAAGGTTATAGAAATAATCGATTTGTTTTATTGATAAAAAAATAAATGAATACCTGATAGTTTATTTCGTTAATAATTAACTAAAAAATGATTTGAATCAAAACATAAAATGTATGATGTAATCATTAGATTTCAAATATCAAGTTCCATCACTCGTATAGTTAAAAAATATGTTCAAAAAAAAAAATCTATTGACCAGGTGACATATTATTTTATATGTCTTGTCCTTTAACTTTAATAAATTACATAACAAAAAATGAATCATCAAAAATTCATCGTTTTCTTTTTTTCGTAATAATTAATTCTATACTTATAAAAGAGAAAAAAAAACCATTGTTGATTTACCCAATGGGAAGTATTGACCTTGTTATGTAGATTCGTTTGTTTTTTTTTATTAACGAATTATTGAATAAAAAGATCTTTCGAATTATAATTATATTTATTATTTTAAGTTTCAAAACAAGGTCATCAAATTATAATTAGTTTGGCTATTGTTACTTTTCTTTATGCATTATCAATAAAACCAATTCGATGGTTATTACAACGTGTACTTACATTACTTTGCTTGTAAGTTTTTTTTCGAAATTTATAGAAGAAGAAAAGATGAATATATCTTATCTTGATCGACTAGTTTCATAAGTTCGATATCTTCTTTACAATCTATAACTAGCTTTCAGTAGAAAGTTAGTCTGTCTTAGAAATATTTTCGGTTCATTATTTAACTCATGATTCGAGGCACATAACTTGTAATAATTAATTCAGGATCATTTCACAACTAACGACATCAAGATTTGAATCTTGAATATATTGTAGAAAGGTGAAATATTACTACATTCACACTCCGGAGACATGAAATTTTTTCACTTCCAACATTTCTACAGTCAACTGTACCTTGTTTTAGAACCCATTCAAATTAATCATAATGACTTGATTATTGTTAAGATTGTCTGAGAAATGTCTAGAGTGTGTCAGATCAATAAAAAGTATTTCGCAATGACTATCATCTTCAGACTAAGAAATTTCGTGCTTTCTGACGATCGAATGAGATAAATAAGTGTGTGTAAAATAGTTTTGGTCGTGATACTAAAAAAACTGATCTCGTTTATCAGAAAATAGGGTGTGATTGTGTGGGTCTTGGTCCGCCTGGGCGTTGTCTCACCCCAAATCCACTTGAGTCAATAGATGCCATATGTGACATTTATGTATCTGTCGCTCTGTGTGATATTGTGATATGTTTGTTGAAATGCATCAATAATATATACTTGTCTTTCTGACATAAAACTATTGAAAAAAAAACTATAGAATAGTCAATTATGCCAAAAAAAGAAATTGAATGTTTACTAAGAAGTTCTTTGAAGAAAATGTTTTAAAAATTTTATCTTTCATAAAATAAAATGTCTGTTAGATGTATAAAAATTAATAATTAATGAAAAACAAAAATATATATATATCATTGATTTTTTGTTTTATAGTTTTTGTAAAGCTTGTGGTAAAAGAGAAAGCAAGAAAAAATCAATTAAAAAAGCTAAAAGTAATGAAGATAAACAACAATTGGTATCTACAAAAAAGTAAATATAATATTTTTGTTTTTTTGAATATATGTGAATTACATAAAAATGAATTTTATTGTTATAGGAAAGACGAAGATATTGATGATGAAGAAATAAAAGAACAATCCAGTATTGAAGAACATCGTCCAAGTATTGCAGCAGAAATTCTAGCATTTTTGTAGGTTTTTTTTTTCTTCAAGCAAATATTCTTCAGTTATGTTTTTTTCTTTTCAATATATTAGACAAGAAACATATCAAAAATTTACGTATGCGAGTTTCTTTTTTTGAAAATAAATAGTATCAAATTAAAAACAAACAAACTCTCATTGCACGAAATAATTTTGGGTTTTTTTTTGATTAAAAAAAACCAATATTGATACTTACATCTTTTAGATTTCTTTATTTGTTTTCTTTTTTTTTTTATTTGATAATATAATTATTATTATTATTCTCTAGGGTACCATCAACTCCTGATCCATTAAAAAATCCAAATAAACGTGATCTTAGTCGAACAATTTGGGTTGGGACATTGATTATAATCTTTTTATCATTATTATATTCTATAACAACATTAACACATTTTTCCTCATTTAAATATGAAATAACTGATGAAACACAATTAGAATTATTAGTTAATGAAACAATTCGTTTGGTAGCACATTGTGAACGTATATCAAATTCTCGTCTAGGAAATTTAGTATTTTTTCCGATAGCAGTTTGTTTAATAGTTATTTTTTCATGGTCAGTTAAACGAGAAAGAAAATGTTTAAATATATGTGATGGTCGACCAGGTAGAAAAATACTGTTTAAATATTTCATATATATATATTTAATTATTATTTAGGTGTTATACCACCAATTGAACCATTTCGTACAACAAATCGTTTTACAACAGCAACAGTTTTTGGAATTCTTTCATTTGAAGTATTAAAAATCTTTGAAGAATTACTTTTTAGTGCAGGTGATCCATTAAATCATGGTGTACTTGTTGAATTAATTGAACGAATAGCTATTGTTATTCTTGTTGGGTAAAAATTTTCTTATTTTTGTTTTTTAAAAAATTATTTGTAAAAAACAAAAAAAATGAACAATTCTTGTTTTTTTTTGTTTTTTGTTCTTCTAGAGTTCGATATTATCCAGTACTTGCTTCTTTACAATTACGTAATGTTATTTCACGATTATTTATTTGTCTTTATATATTGGGTGATATTGTATTTGCAATTATACGAGAAGGATCATGTATGGGTTTTCTACCATTATCAAGATATTATTCATCTATAGAAGAAGCAAAACTTCGAATGGTATGTTAAGAATTATTTTATTTAAACAAAAATACTAAGATCATTTTTAAATTGTAGAATCTATAAAGTTATATGTAAAAATTATAATAAAGAAGAGGTTTTTTGCCTTTTTAATTTTGTATATTTTAAGTATAATGAATACGAATATAAAGAGTTGATTAAATGTAGATTGTTTTGTTTATTGCAGAATATTACTTTTCATTTGGATTGAAGTCAGATCGCATGTTTGAATAGGTATTTTTGAAGAAGCTTGTTTTTTTTTGTTTTATTAAATTATTAAAATTACTTAGGGCATACCAAAAGTAGTGGCAGTGACACTTTATTCCCTTATAGTGCGCTCAAAGAAACTTTCCTTATATATAGTTTGATAG